CTCTTTCTATTGCTCTTGTTTTTCTGTCTTTCTCTTATTTTGTCTTTGCTTATACTTTTTTTACTTTGCAATTTGCGAAACACAACGAAAAACATCTAAAATGTATGCGAATTTGCAAGTTTTTGAGTTGTTTTTATTTTCCGTGCTCAGGCTGACGTAAGTGACCGGAAGTTAAATTTCACCTCCTTAGCAACGCGAGCGAGCGCGCGCATGAATCGGTTAATGGGCCCTTAAAACTGGAAAGTTTAAACATTATTTGAAACATTTTCATTAGTCCCTCCAGTAATAATTAACACTCACTGAGAGAAATTGTTTGGCACTGTTGTTGACACCATCTGTTACCATAGCAACAGGAGCACGCCCACTAGACCCTCATTTTACAGGCATCACGCCAACAGCAATAACTTTATAACGAAAACTCCTGTGGTCCTGAAATTTTTAGGATATCTTATGCATAGATAGATCTGGGCAATGAACCTAAAACATTCTATATAGCATGATTCTTGCAAAATAAATAAAAAAACTTTCACGTAAACAAATAATGGGCCCTTTCTAGAAAAAAATATGCCTGCCATGGAATGGTCAATTTACCTTTGTACTTTGTTTTAGGTTTATTGCACAGAAGTACCATTCAAGATTTTCTACAGAAAATTGCATGAAATTATCTTGAATAGTTTTTGAACTACACATGTTGAGCTTCTTGGAATTCTATCAAAATGCAGTTTGACGGGAAAATGCATCTAAAAGTTGCACTTGGGTTTTAAAAGCCTCTGTTCAATCTCTGAGCAAAGCAGGTGTCTTAAAATGCTCCAGCAGCATAGGTAACACCCTCTGCTTGCTGGTTCTTGTCTTCTTTCTTCTTTCTTTGTCCCGTTAGGACCGTTCTCCTCTTCTTCCTTTCGTTGCTCTCTTTTTACTCAGCCCCGCGAATACGATCTAGGTTAAGGCGCCTACACCCCTCTTCTGTGTATTTTCCTGAGGAAATTTTGAGTGCTTTTAGAAGCAGCAGAACAGTCCTAGCCCCAATATTGAGGAAACTAGATACGATGGGATTCACCTCTAGCTTGTTGCGAAGAGGTGCTTCATTTCTTTCTCTCTTTCTTTTTATATATTTTATTTTCACTTGTTTCAATTTTCAAACGATAAATTTATAGCTGTTGGTCCAACTAGTGCGCCAGCTCCAAGCTCAACAGGGGCTTCCCAGACAACACCAACTCCAAGCTCAACGGGAAGTGCCCAGACAACATCACCTACAGACAGCAGCACTCCATCAGGGAGCACAATCCCACCAACAACCCAGCCTACCTCAGGAGGCAGCACATCCACAGGTGGTAGTACGCCCCCAACAAGCCCTGTACCCTCTACAACACCGAGCAGCACAAGTCCCGCTTCTTCTTCGACAGCTCCCTCTTCCAAGCCTCCTGGAGGTAAGCCCAGTAATAAGACCGGTTGTAAAGGAATAAAAAAGCTTGCATAAACTCCGTGTGCCACTTCTAAATTAGTACAACATGTTCATGTTCATTCAAAATTTTGCATTTATTGTTTAACATCTTGTTTTTCAAACATAACTGATTCAGTTTCTAAACGGGCAAACAATGTTTGACCTAATATCGATTAAACGTAATGTCTCTATTACGTGCAACCACAAGAAAAACAAAACAATCATGATAAGTTGTTACACGAAATCCGATCCGTTTTATTTTGCTAGCAAATTCTTAACTCTTAATTCCTTCCTCTTTGTGATGGAAGTTCAAAACCGGCTCTGTGTCTGTCATGAATCCGTTTTTGTGATTGGCTTTTTTTTTTGGAGAGTACACGTACTAGTAAATTGATGATAATGTGCAAGAGTTGGGGAAAAACGAAAAGAAGATTTTAAATTCGCATAAATCCTTCCAGCAGTAAGTTCAAAGGATACAAAACCGCATAAGGTAATCAGCTTTAGTCAGTTATGAAAGTTAGCATGTGTTCTGAAGTTTATAGAAACATTACACATGTCAAAATACGTTTTGCTTTCAGAAGGGGACATGACATTCTGCAATGAAAAACCATCTGGATATTACTCTGATCCAAAAGATTGTAACAGCTTCTACCACTGCGCTAATGGTATAACGTACTGGAAACATTGTCCCGAGGGACTCTATTTCAGCCCTGTTAATAAGGTTTGTGACTGGCCCAGAAACGTGGAATGTACAGCCGAGGGTCAGCAAGATAAGCAGATGAGATACCCGCAGGGTATTCGTAAGATCAGTCAGATTTTAAAGAAGAGCAAGTGTCTGGGAAACAAGTCAGAGGAAGGAATTATGAACTAAGATAAATTTTACAGCTTTGACTTGATATAATCCTCTGGGTCGTCCACAAAGACAACAAAAACAGCGATAACGGCAGCAACAACAACAACAACAACAACAAAAACGATAACAACAACAGCAACAACAAGCGTTCAACTGTCATGGGGATAAAACCATATTGTAAACTTTATGAAAAAAATCTAGAGGGGCAGGCAAATATTAGCCACCCTTTTCCCGGCCACTAACCTTGTACGTCCGAAGGTTAAATCAAACACCTAATACGAGCAACGGTGTTAAAATAAACAGCCAACAAAAACAGCGGTTAATCAGAGTGATGGTACTTGATAGAACTGCTTCCCACGAAATAAAAGAAAAAAATTATCTTGAAAAGATCACGTGATTTGAAATGGGGAAACAAACTTATATATTTTATGACTAAGGAACTCATTAACTACCAACTCAAACATTCATTGGCAATCATCTTCTCTTGCCCTAAACTTAAATGCAGTCTTCTATTGGACCAGAACGAATCACGTGACGCGCGTCAAAACTGTATAATCCCAATCAATCAATCTTTATTTGTACTCACTCTTGCTAAAAAAAAATTACAATGTTGAATGAAAATATCAAAACGAAATTAGAGTACTAGCTGCCTAGAATAATCATAGGGGCTAGCGGAGCCAGCCAGCCAGTTAACATCAGCATTAAATAGAAATAAAATACAGGTCAGCAAGAAAATGTAAATAAAATTAAATTCACACGCAAGAAGAAAAGAAGAAAAGGAAAAACGCTATTTCTATGCTATGAAGGAAGTTTAAAATAGTTAAATTTATATATGAATACAAAACATTAATATAAGAAGAGCACACAATAGCTATGGCAACTAATAACAGCCATATATTAAACTATAAAAGAAAGACTTGGAAAGGTGACAGAAATTAACAAAAGACTAATTGAAAGCGAAGAGCGATCATCTCAGTAAATTTTCCAATTTAAACAATTGGAAAGAAGAAGCCTGAAAAAATCAGGGCTTCAACGGGATTCGAACCCGTGACCTTCGCGATACCGGTGCGAT